TATTTAGACATAGACCTAATAGGACAATCTGCCTTCGGTGTCCCTGGCTACTTTCCTCATTTCACATCCCCACCAATTTAGAGGGTGCATGATTTGAATTTTAAAAGAAAAATCTGTTTTGGGTTTAGAAGCACAATAACATGGGAGATATTTGTCCTCAGCCATTTTGCATCTTTGGGTTTTCTTATAGTTTAGGAAATTGAATTTGTGCCAGAGTCTTTGTTTACATGCACTTCTGAAAACTACACGTCTGTGTCCAACCAGACTGAGAGGAAAACTGCTTTTCTCTCTTTCTTAGGCTCTGTAAAGAGAATATTGATGCCTGGTGGTGTAGTGGTTAAGCACTTGGCTGCTAATCAAAAGGTTGGTTAGTTTGAACCCACCAATTGCTCCCAGTGAGAAAGATTCTGCTTCTGTAAAGATGACAGCCTTAAAATCCCTATGGTGGGTGGTCTCCTCTGGCCTTTAGGGTCCATTGGGTCAGACCCAACTGGATAGCAGGGATTTTCTTTGGGTTGTAGAAATGCCAAAGCATAAAGTTTAACTCAGTTAGCCATAATTCTCTTTTTTGCCTCAAGACTTGAGATAAATTACCCCCTGACCTCCAGGCTTTGGTTACACACTAACTTTTCACTAGTAGTCACGAAACCCAGCTGATTCCTAGTGGCATACCCAGTTTAGACTCAGATGGGAATCTTCCCCCCTCCCATGTAGCCCTTTCACTTTTCTACATGAGTCCGCGGCACACACACATCCCCACTCCTAATATTTATACACTTGATAAAAGTCCTGTGTCTTGAAAACAGTTAGTGGCTTTCATAATGTTGCATTATCCAATGAGGAGTGGACTCTGTTGCTTTTCTCACTTAGCTGGAAATTAAGTAATAGCCAGATTCAATGTAAGGAAGGGCGGTAGCTACTTGGAGGTGATTATTATGGGTGGTTTCTCAGACTGTTTATAAAAAAAGGGCTAAGGATGAATTCACTTTTCAAAACATTTGTGCCTTCATTCAAAGATTTAATTTTGTGCTTTACACACACGCACCTAGAATTTGAGCCAGATGTATTTGTTTTCAATTAGCCAGCCTTTAGTTCTGGTTATTATCATCCTCATTTATAAAATGAAGGAATGAGACTAAGTTATCACCTTTCTGATTTATCTATCTGTGATATTTTAAGATATCATTTTGTGATATTTTAAATTAACTGGACTATGGATAAAAAGAAGACATTTTAATTTGAATATTCCATATATTTCAAGTGCTATTATGTCTAGTAAGTCTAAGAATTGTACTTTGTGGTTTCATAAATATACAATGTAATAAAGAAGTCATTTTTAATAAAACATTGATACTGCTACTTCATCTGCACTATGTTATACTAATGATGATATATTTGTTGTATAGATAAAAACCTTTTTCAAGTTTCACAGGATTGAAACTAAAAGTATGCACTGAGCAATCCATTTTAAATGAACTAAAATGATCTTTCACTTTTATTTACGTTTTGTTGACTAAAGAGAAGTTAGGCAACAAACATTTTTTCTACATTTTAAATTAATGACTTAATCACAAGTATTTTGAGTTTTATTTTTGTTACTCATTTAGCTCCATTTCCACTGGCAAATGTTGATTTGTTCCTCAGTTTTGAATGAAATAGGAATTAATGAGGCAGTTTCTGCCTCACAATAACAAGTTAAAATTATAGCACTTTATCACGTCAACACAGCTTTCAACGCCAGGAATACCGGTGCTATTAA